CAATTCTTTGCAATTTGTTTTGATTTATGCGACGCTTGCCGTTGTTGTTGTTGTTGTTGTCAGGCACCTTTCTATGCTTTACAGCTTTTGTTGTTTGCCATACACGCACGGCGAGGCCGGCTCTGGCATAGTTTCCTTATCGCTCTTATCACTCTAGCCATATTTTATTGCCATTTTTGTATGCTTCGACCATTTGTGCCTGGCAGGCAAATTGAAAAGACGAAGGCCTATGCATAGGCCTTTCGCAATACAACAATTTTGTGCCTTGCTCTGCATTGACAGCGAGTTTAATTAATTTTCTAGCTTCTCGTTTTATATAGAGTACAATTATTTGGTTTTCTCTAAACATTTTCCACTTGAGATCTTTTTGTGTGCGTGCCAAATAAAACAAATTCCAAATTCCGCTCAGTTGCACTACTCGAAAACTCTTGTCAATTCCTGAATTGCTTTTAGTTAAAATTTTTCAGTTTTTGCTGTTGCTTTTCGGCTCATATATCTAAAAAGTGCTGAGGCTTGCTGCACTATTTTTGCTGACTGACATGGCCAGAACATGGAAAGCTGCGCTTTTTGCTTATATATGCAAAATAGTAAATCGAAAATTAAAGAAAAACTTTGACGATGTGTCAGCAACTGGCGCCATCTGTTGGCCTCCATATGAAGTTTACTAATATTTATTGATTTCTCTATAAAAACACAAAAAAAAACTAAAATTTTCAGCCTTTTTATTTGAGTAAAAATCCAGAAATCTCGCAGTAAATGAAAGCTAAATAAATACGCTTCAATTTAAATTTCAATATATGAATGCATATTATCAGCAGAAATAAAGCTGTATTAATTTATATATATAAATTCGTCGGTCTTCTTGATCCCATAAAGCAAGATAATTAAATACAAATTTGCATATTAAAGGAAATAAAGAAAACGATGGAAATGCTGAACGACTTAAGCTTTTGCCGTCTGTTGCTCATCATATTAAGTCCAAGCGAGTAACTTTGCTTTAATATAAATTTAAATATAACTGAAATATAAATTACTTTTTCATATTGAAAGCTGGACACGCCCAAATAAATTGCCGGATTGAATAGATTCATATATAAACGAGTATATATATACATATTTTCCACAGAAATTACAAGAGCATCTTAGCATAATTAATGGTGCATAAATTGTTGATTAGCTAATTAAAGTTGGGCTCGCAATTAAGTGACACTAAGCAGATTACGCACGGGCACAGTCGAAGCGGCAACGACAGTTGGCTGAGCCTGCGGACAAATAGCCAAACCAGAAGCCCATTATCTATGTGTATTAATTTTTGTCATTAGATCTGCCGGGGAAATGATTAAAAAATAAATAAAAAAAACTCGCTGCTTGGCAACTGCCAACAAAAATATAAATTTAAAGCGCGCTGCTCTTTTTTTTAATATTGATATAGGGTATATAAGTATATATATATATATTTATATATATATATAAATATTTTTATATTTATGATGAGACCGCATCTTGTGTAAATCTAATACTTGCCTTTCGTTTTTAATAGGCTTCATTTTATTCTTTTGTGTTCTTAATACGTACAGACGAAATCCCTTTTATGTTCTCGAGTTACCAACCTGTCCTAGATGGATATTTGCCTTAAGCTTCACTGCGCTTTACGTCCTTCGTCCTTCATCGTTTCGCTCCTGTCAAGTGGCAGCAAAGGCAGCGTTGCGTACACGAAAAGTTTAACACTTGCCACTTGCCACACCAAAAAACTTAGCCAAATATACATACATACATATATACATATATATTAACAGACTCTCTGGTCTGTCATAAAAAAGATACAAGTAGCAGTTTGTTAGTGCGAAGTCCAGGAATATAATGTACCCTGTATTCCCCTGTAATTGAGTGCTGTTAATCAAAAGGGAAGTCTGCATAGAGTCTGTATAGTTAAATTGGGGCAAGTCTAACTCTTATAGCTCTTAAGCTTTGTTTTAAAAACTTAATCCCGGAACCGATTCGAAAGACAGCTACGAATATATTTACATAGTTAGGAAAATATTTAAAAATAAATAGAAATTATATAAAAATAAACAAAATATATATAAATAAATAAAAAAATAAATTTAGTTTTAAAACATTGAAAAAAGCAAAAAAATTTAAAGAAATAAATGAAAAAACCAACTTTAAAATAAATTAAATATTAAAAATTAAAAAATAATTAAGTTCATAAAATTGAATTTAAAAAACAAACACAATAAAAAATGAACAAAAATTATTTAAAAACTAAATGCAGTTAAATAGATTAAATAGGAAACAATTTTAAATAAGTCTGTATTTGCATTTTTTTATTTTTAATAAGAATTTCAATTACCGTACTTATTTGTTTTACATAGGTTGATTAAAACTCTTTTGAAAAAAGAGCAACAAACATACAATAAAAAGTAAATAATTTTAAAATACAATTAAAATACATAAATAATAATCAAATTATAAAGCAACTAAATAATTTAATATAAATAAAAGGCAAATAATTAAATTAGTAAAACTTAAAGCACAAAAAGAGCAAAAGAAACTAAAATAATTTACAATGCATATGAAGCCACCACAACCGATTTTTCATCTATAATTCATAGCCGGGCCTGTTGCATACGTTTGCAGATAACCATCAGACTTCTCATATCTATTTGTAATGAGTATAACTTCAAAATAAACACAATAAATTGACCGTCATTTGTTTTCTTGACACTTTGAAGAGCGCCCAGAGTGCCGAGGCTTATTTTTTTATTTTCCTGCCCTTTCTATGTATCTTCGCCCAGAGCCGAAGAACGGGTTAAGTCTGAAGCGGACGACAATGGATGCGCCGTCGTCAATGTCGCGCCAACTTTGCATAATTTCGCACTGTCACTAAATAAGTCGCCAGATGATATTAATAATACCTCATTATCGCATCATTCCATTTTTCAGCACATTTGTGAAATATGCTAGCTGCGGCCATTTATCATAATCAAAGTGACGATGGTGAATCGACCTTCAAAATTTCGAAATGCTAGAGCATCCTGTTTTTTGAGTAGCTCTGCTCGTTGCGCAAATTAGCTGAACTTGTGGCTTCCAATTGTTATTGATGGCCAGTCTTGAGCTCCCTACTCTCGTCTGTCTGGCTGGCTGTCTGTCAGTTTACTGTTAGATTTCGATAATTGAATGATTGCAGAGTAATTTATTCACTTAATGTGCGAGCTCGACTAGACTCAAATGCAATTTATGAAATTGCAATTAATTTCAGCTATCAAGGATAGGTTTGGTTCATGAATTGTGCTTGAACTTGCTTAAATAATTTTGCATAAATAATGTTGTTAACTTTTTATAGCTTTAAAATGGCTTAACGATTTTTATATAAAGAAATTTTATTTAAGCTTAAGATAATTTATTTTCAATATTTTTTTTTTTACGTTTTAAATACAGAAATAATAAAAAAGTTCTCACTTTTAAATACCTTAGGAATATATATACTTTCATAAAATTAAATGTGAAGATGTTAGCTTTGATTGTCTCAGACAGTCGAAATTGTGCTGTGATTCAGCGCAAAGACAATCAGACCGAAGTTGTCAAAGCAAAGAAAACGTACCTAATATATATATATATATATATATATATATGAAGTGCGTGACTTTCGGCTGAATGAACAAAAGGAAGGAATAAAAAAAATATATTTATATAAAAATATATACATTTATACATATATATATCTATATATAATATGACCACAGCTTGGTTCCGACAGTCTGTCCAAATATTTTTAAATGACAGTCAAAATAATTTGCAATTGCAGCTGTCTGTTAATGCAGCCAAGTGGTAAATGTTTGACTTCAAACTGCTGACTAGACAATCACTCAGTCAGTGAGTCAGTGAATCACTCAGTCAGTCAATCAAAGTAATGTCACAGCTAAAGCTAAACTCGTCTGGCTCAGCTCTCGGCCAATGCAATTTAATTAATTTGAGTGTTTATTCAATATATAAAATGCAAGCAATTCTGTCTGACAACTGCGTACAGCTCTATAGAGTGGAATCTTTTGGCATTAATGCTTAACCCAAGACAAAGTAAGTAACAACAAATAAATAAAGTATACGCAGCGTATGCCCTGGCGTTGCTCCCTTTCTGTGTTGGTCCTGGCCAATGTCAATAAAAGTTTTAGTTTGGCTTTATTTGGTCTTGCCGCCAGTCAGATCTGTGGATATAAATGTAAATTAAGTTGTGTGTTAAGCTGCAGCAAGTTGCGGCAAGTTGCAGCAGTTGCAACAACTTGTTAAATGCATTTCATTTGCATTTCGCTTGACTGCATTCAAATAACTTTGATTGAATGCGTTCACCAAAAGACAAACTACTGTCCACAAAAAAAGGCAACTATAGCTTATATATATATGTATATAACGGTTCAGTTTATGGAAACTAAAGAGCTAACGAGTTTTTGGTAAATTTGCGGTTAGTCGTGGCTGACGTGCGGGTCGCATTGATAGATAAAGTAATAAAATAATGGTTTATGTGGCTCGCTTTTTCCGCCAAAAAGGAAATTCAATAAATTTAAAGCGCAAACATGGCGATCTGGTAACTCTATCGGTAGCCGAGCTGACACTGCTGCAGATGCTGCTGTTGCTGCGAAGCATTATTCAATTTATGCACTTAACGATAGAGTCAACAGAACGCGCATTGATGTAGCCGCAGCTACCACAGTGGCAACTGTGCGTATACGCAATTTAATTTGCAACATCTCTGTCGCACGCATCCTCTCGCTCGCAGTGTGTGTGTTCGCGTGCCTGTGTGTGTGTGAGTTTTGTGTGAAAAATACCCGGAAATGAGATTGCTGTGGCCTTAATTTCATGCGAATTCGCAGTGCGAAACGTTAATGAAGATTTAAGCTTCAGGTTCCGCAGCAAAAAGATAGATATATATAATATATATATATATATATATATATATATATATATGTGTGTGTTTATAATGATCTACTATCAGGCAGGCTTTTGTAGTTAGAGCACTTCAAGTTGTTGAAGTAATTGTTTGTATTGGAATAATAAAAAAAATTTACTGCCTCCCGTCAAGCCAATTGAAATTTACACCAAAATTATTTTTTTAAATACTCAATACCGATTTTGGTGAAGAAGGGGAAGAATTCTTCACGCGGATGCAATGCAGTCACGTTCTTTCGCCCGTCAGTTGCATCCCGGCGTTATAATAACTCAAGAGCTCAAGATGAAAATGTTTAACTTTGAATCGCTTAACCGCGAGAAAGCCCAGCTGGAGACTGACATCGAGCAAATTCGCAAGCAACAAGACTCCATTGAGGATCAGCTCGCCGAAGCGCTGGCCGAAGATGAGTTCCAGCGCTGCTTAAATGGCCAGATGATGGTCACTCCCAATGACGATGAAATGATGGAGGTATTCAAAAAGAATTTGGGCACCACCATTGACAAACTGGCCAGCAAATACGAGCGCAAAATTTACTTGGACGTTGATCTTCAAAAGCTCAAGATGACCATTGAAAAAGAAATTATGAAAGTCAACGAGGAGGCAGCGGCAGCCGAGACTGCTAGTGCCTAGCACCACAACTCAACACACAGTAAGAGGCGCAACACTAGGCTATATATTGGATTAACAAAATCAAATTTTTGTTGCACTCTTCACACCTACCAAGCCAGACTAACGTTTTGGTACAGATTCTCACTTCAATTCCATTCAAGTTTTATCCTGGTGTCTCACTTTTAATCCGATTGCTTGCCTAATTTAATTTATTTTTTAAATTTTAAATTTGTAATTTTTTTGTAGTTACAATAACAGACTTCTCTCTATTGTTCTTAGCTGCTGGCTCTAATCAAATAAACCATGCAAAGAAAAAAAAATAAAAAATATGGAAAATTCTAGTAACTGCAAGTTTATTGGTTTTTGTTTGACAATGACAAAGACAAACTCTATGACATACATAACCTGATATTCTTTTTTTCCTGTAGATAAAAGATGTGACCAATCTTATTATTAAATATGATGCTCATGAAGGACACGTTTCTTGACTTTTCACTTAACTGATTCTTTTTTTTTTTGCTACGGCGCTCATTTGGCAAGGCTTCAACTGTTTTCATTCATATGCAAATGACGCTCGAACCAACCGAAAATTGCAATGAATTTAAATTACCTAAGACTATGTGGCGAACAGCAAAGAGGAGTGCCGGATGGGATTGCATTAAGTGGCGATTTGGTGGAGAGACAAAAAAGAGATGAAAACGAAACTAACTGTGGGGCGCGTGTTCTAATTAATAAGGCCACGTTGACGGCATCATTGCTGTTTGAGCCCAAAGATTTTTTGCGCTGCACGAATTTCCCAACGGCATTTACTGAATGCAAAAACAACACACACACACAGTAATAAGAAAGACGACGAGCAGTTGAGCTGGAAAAAAAATAATACAAAAAATATACAAAAGTAAAATGAAACAAAAGAGAAATAGAGATATCTCATTATGGACAAAGCAGGCCAAACGAGCGTTGCCACCATCAAAACACATACATATACACGCACACATACACACACGCACATAGAAAATGAAATGAAAAAATTATGCGAAAAGCAGGCCAAAGACCATTCTTTAGGCCTGGCCATCGCCTTGTGTTAGGTATGTATGTATATTTATGAATTTGTTTACAACGAGCCACTGGACAACGGGGCAAATTCTGTTGAAAATGCTGTTGTGTTGAACTTTTTTTGATACCCTGTATATGTATGTGGGTATTCTGAACTTGAGGGACGCTAGGGTATGCTAGTATAAGAGTTAAGGCAATGTTTTGGATGCTGCATATTCAATTAATCAAGCGGGCTAGGAAGGACGCTATGAGAGCTAAAACTATTGACATTTGCATTTTATGATTGACTTAGTGATTGAGAGTAAATTGACTGAATGAGTGAAATATATATATATATATATTATGTATTATTAGCCGACAAATAAATGACATATAAATGATATATGATTGCTTGATTAAAATATATAATATTAAGCATCTTATTAAACTCTTGAGTGACAGCTGTTTAATCACAAAACTAATAAGTCCTAGAGCTTATATTCTTTCTGATTACAGGGTATCTGTGAGTCACAGTCTGTCTGACTTGTTCATTGTTTAGGGCAACACGCGTGCCAAAAATAATCAGAATATAATAAGCAGCTCTTGAAGAGGCGCAAACAAATGAGCCATATAATGATTTTCTCTGGGTTCTGACTGTGCTCGAACGATTTATATTCAGGTTTATTTCATTTCAGTGTGTGTTTTTGTTTGTGTGTGTGTGTGTTTTGTTTGTCCTGCTGCGAAAATTAAGCAATTTTCTAACTTCCGATGATGCGCCGCGACCTTAATTTCGTGTATATAGTTGACGTAGTTCGCTAACATTTCTTCGGCTTTGCACACTTTTAGGTTATCAACGGGCCAGGCACAAAGCCGGATTACATAAAGGATTTGCGGACTCTTTACAAGGCATTACAACTCGTATTCCTTGCTATCATTTTTTGCTTCTTCTCGTTTTGCTGTGCGTTTTTTGTTGTATTTTTTTTTAATACAATACTAGTCGTTGAGCCCTTGAATCCTGCCTATCGCCATGCAAATCGCCTGGCAATTTGCCTGAGCAACTCGACCATCAAAAGATGGTCAGCCAGAGATTAGATGCAAAGCCATTGTTGTTGCTACAGATCTCGCTTTGTTCACCAAATATTTACACTGCAGTCGAGTTGTTTTTAATAACTTTGTTCACGGCTAGTTTTCACTGTGTGCCCGCATAATTAAAAATATGCACACACGTGCTACCCTAACACTGGTAGTTTATGTCGTGCCACGAGGCGTATGAGTGCTGCCTTTATATTGCGTATTTGCGCTAGCTCATGAAAGTAAAAACCGTAGCAGAACTGCACATCATCATTATGGCCAAACGAGGCTATATAATAGCGTAACAAGATTACCCTGCTCTCTGTATTTACTTGCCGCGAATGGCCCCGTTAGTTTGGATAATAAAGTCGTCGGGTCGCAAGGAAAGTCATTTTAATTGCACTTCTTAAACAAAGATAGTGCAGAGTGGAAAGTGGAGAGTGAAAGCGAAATGTTGCCGTGACTGTCAGTTAAATACATTCTTTAGCTTGATTCTTTACTTCAATGCCATTTAATTGTTTGAGCTAAATTTAAATTTCAATTAATTAAAAATTGCGTTGCCGCGCAATGTCTAAGCCAATCTATTTATGTTTTTGATTTAGGTCAAAGATTCAAGTGATTTACTCGAGCAGCACTTAATGGAAATGAACTCAATTAAAATAATCTATAGCAAACAAATAATAAATTAAAATTAAATTTAGAAATGGGAAAATATTGAAAAATTGAAATTATAAATAAATATTTAAGAATCGGAAAGAATGAGAAAACTAAGCACCTAAATCCTACCATAAATATTTATTAAACATGTCATTTAATTATAATTGCCCAATATAAATCATTTTAACACAATAAAATTATTTTCCACCAAAAATCTCTCAATATTTGGCATGCTAAACAAACATTCGACCGAAATTAGTTAGATTCGAATTGAATGCGTTTAGTCAGTGAAATATTCAAACTTAATTTGGACCTCGTTAAAGAGAGCATTTAGCCAATGCCAATAAAAACAGTGATATTGAAAAGTATATGCACATATGCGAGAATTTCGACTGTTTAAATTCCATTTTATCGTCGTTTTACCTGCATATTTGCTTCACATATGCAAATTCAATTCAAAGCCCATTACAAACTATAAACGCAGTAATTCGAACTCAAAGAGCAAACACACATGTTGCATGTGGCAAAAACAAAAAATAGAAAAAAAGTAAAAATTAGCAAAAATTTCAAAAGAAAAACAAATTCAATTTACAGGCTCGTGGCATGCGTTTATATATACATATGTGCATAAACTATGTTCAATAATGCCCAACCAATTTGTTTGACAAATATTCGGGTCGTGCGGAATTTAACACACACGCGCACGCAGCACGACCCTCATCAGTGCGATTCACAAAATCAAAGAACACAAAAAGAAATATCGAAAGTTGAGCCTGCAAATACGAGTATTTGATATTTTTGCATTGGTTACAAAATGGTTTTATTCCACGTTGCCAGCGCCGGCATATTTAGTATAAGTATACCCTGCAATTGCGGCAGTGCTACAAAAGGTTTAGTAAATTGTTGACAGCTGTTTTGTTTGCATGTGCTTTGGCTCAGCTTTGATTTTTGTAAAGCACCTGGCCAAAAAGAAGACTAATGACTAATAGACCTTTTAGCTTAAGAGATTTTCTAGTTGACGAATAACTGCAGAGGTTCAGGAAAGAACGAAACTTGGGAAACTAAAGACGGTATCGAAGAAAAAGCTGAGAAAGCTCACACGAAATAATTTTTTTAAGTGTTTCGAAAAATTTAAAAAAATGCTGGCATAAGTATAAAATATCTGATGTTGACTATATATATTATATATATATATATATTGTTTTTATTGATTCACACTGGATATGTGATCCATATTGTCGATTTTCAAGTAATACAATATTTTTTCTGTAAAATCTTTCCGAGTTTAGTTCAGCATCTAAAATTTTTTGAAGAATATTTTTGAATATCATTTAAAAAGTAAATTACTTCAGTTCATTAATTAATTTATAATTATTTATTTATAATAAAGCTGATAAATTGTTTTCATTTTCAAAGTCATAAATCTGTTCTTTTTCTCATTTTATTTTGATGAAAATCAAAATCAGTCCATTTCATTTTTTTTATATACAAAAAATTAAATTATTAGCTCTTTGAGTATACAGGGTATCTTTCAATTTACAAGTTTCAACTTTTTTGTCTTATTGCTAGCGTTTTGCCACATAGTTGTTCGCAGTAATTGAAGGCCCGCAGATAGAAAGTAAAAAGTGTACAACTGCTGCGATCCTAGTTGGATATATATGTACATATCTGTTGTATATCAAGGACATGTTGATTTAATATATTCGGTTTTTAAAATCAATTAAAAGGCTCGAACATTTGGTGGCTTTTATTATAAATTGAGTGCAAAAACAATGCGAATAATTAATTTGAATTTTTAGAAGGAGAACGAACGAACACCAAGCAAAATTCCAATTGCTGACATTTTGCGGTTAAATGAGTGTATTTGATTAACACAATTAAATGTTAATTAAAAGTTCACTCTTGCTGTTATTTGTATTTAATTATATTTTGATTGAGGTATGTGTTCACAAGCAACAAAACCAATTTCACAAGCCAAGTAAAGCTGATTAATAACCTTGAATGTTTGTAACTCTGTCGAGCCCTCCACTAATTTCTGCTTTATTTAAGCTTTATGCGTTTGCATTGATGCCTCATTATTGGATGGCTTTTGCCATTGAAGTTTAATTAAAAATTCAGTTGACAGTCAGAGAGACAGAGACAGACAGTGCGAGTGCGGCAGAGAGGGGGTGAGAAGGGTCAGCTGAGCCTTTGACAACTGTCAGATAATCTACTAAACCGTAATAGGAGAATTTCATTAGGCATGACAAGTAGAACAGAGCTTGAAGTATGCCTAGTTGTACTAGGCAAACTGAAAACAGAATGTTCCATAATTCATGGACGGCTGGGCGATTTGGTGGGTGGGCGTGGTTGGAACACTTACCGCGCACGCTGATTGCGCGTGACAAGTTCGTCAGCAGTTTTGCATTTTTCGACCATCAAAGTTTACCAAGTGCACGCCCTACATGTGCAACGCTTCATGCCCATCAATTTAAGCCCAGCCAAAGCGCAACTATCATCTAGTATCCAGCGTCCAGCATCCAGCACCCAGCATCCGCATAGTAAACTCAATTAACGT